CCCGAATAATAAAGATTAGCTGTCTAATCTGAGTGGTTTAACAAGCCCCTAACCAGTTACATCCCTTTTGTTACCCCCCCAGTACCGAGTGCCACCCCCCAAAGCTCACAGCTGAATGCACTCCCCAAGCTCCACACTCTGCAACTGCTGCAAAAACTTCTGTCAGTAGTAGGCACTAATTACTATACATATGCCATGCAAATAAAGCCTTATTACTGGCCTAAGTAGCAAATTCAAGTAGTTTCCTGTTCTTTACCAACATCCTGTTGCCACATCTACTCCTCCAGGAAACTGCAACACCGAGCAAGAGAATTTGGCATCCCACAGAAGAGCTCTGACGCTAAATGGCTATCAGAGCACAGTTACTAAGAGCTTGCTTACAAAGAAAACAATCACATTAATCTGCTTGTCATTTATGCTTTCAGTTATTCGGTGCAAGACTGTGTGTCCTGTTTTCTGAAGGGAAAAAAAAAAAAAAAAAAAAGGCAAAAAAAGCATTATTTTGATTTGTTACCAGAAGTCAAAACAGACGCTCTGCAGTGAGGATGCTCACACAGCTGGCACCAAAATAACTCAGATATGAATTACTACAGATTTCATCATTTTAATTCCCATTTTTGTAAAAGCAGAAACTCACACTCATTCATCCCCTAGATTTATATAGAGATTTCATCATTTTTATTCCCATTTTTGTAAAAGCAAAAACTCTCACACTCATTCATCCCCTAGATTTATATAAAAGCAGTACCAGCTGGAAGAATTCCACAGCCAGCTAAGCATACATGCTAAGATCGGGAGTTTGTTAACACAAAGAAGTTACACCAGCACAACTTGAATCTACATTTAAGCCTTTATAGCTTAAAACTCTGCACAAGAATGTACAAGACAAGTGTGGCATGTTCTGGTTAGATTAATCTTTTCATAATCAACACATTAGCTAAACTGAACCAAGCGTGGTTTAAAAGAATCTAGAAGAGAACACAGACCGAGTTTTGCATGGCGTTACTTTATATTCACAACCTGATTTACAGCACAGCTATTTTTGAATCAACAAATCGAGCAGTAGTTTCACATAATGAGAGAAACTTTCCTTAAACGTTTAATATAACCCATGACAAATTGAGCTGCTTAGCCAAAAATTATTACTTGACATAAATTCCATAATTAAAATCAAGTGATCCTTTATCACCACCTCGCTGTGCAACAAAAAAAACCTGTTCTCAGAGACGGTCTTTGAAATCAAATAAGGGCATGAAAAATCTAAGACGAAGCACTAAGCAAATCTTTGAAGAGTTTCTAGGGAGAGTAAAGCCACCATCCACAAGCTCCAGCAAAGCAAACGACGAGTTTCAAACACAGAACAACAACAACAACAAAAAAATGGTTGCAAACGCAGATTACGCAATATTCAAGAAGCAAAACTACAAGGAGGAGTTCTGGGAGGCAACATATACACATGTAGCGTTTCAGAAACAACTAGTTCTGTCGTGGTGGTTCTGTGGTCAAAGCATTTCCTTCGTACGCAGGGCTCGCAGTTCCCTCTGAGATGTGAGGGCACCCGCGCTCCTACACACCATGATGGCATCGGCCTAACCACAAGAATGGAGGCCGAGTGGTTACTGAGGTCATCACAACACTGCGATACGTCGCTTCTAGCTCCCCTTTTTCTCAATTATCTCAATTTTCTTACTTTAATTAGTGCCTCGTGCTGGCTAACAGCCTGTGCGATCTCCCCTCGAAAGGGAAATGAGAAGACTGTTGGATCTAGCTCGCAATTTTCTGCTTGGTTACGAAGCCCCACTTGCAGAGACACCCTCGCTACCCAAACGCTGAAGGGGATTTGTGTATTCACAATACGGAAAGATTAATGCACGCATAAAATTCCGTGGGATCAGCACCTTGATATGTGCTCAGAGTATTGGACTATTTATTTTTGTCAAGTTTATTAAGTACCTAGGAAAATCCCATTATAAATAAAGCAGCATGCTCTTAATAAAACTTCACATGCACAGTAAGTTCTCAATTTATAATGGGGCTTATATACATACTTTTTTTTTTTATTTTAACTCCACGTTTTAATTTAATTTCATACATCCATATATTTACTTGCCTTGTATTTTATGCTCAAACTAAAAAATTCCTCCATTCATTTCTTCCATTTCCGAAATGCTAGAAGAACCACAGGTTTAAAGACTAATTTTTATGCTTAGAAATCTTGTACTGAAGTACCATTTACACCGAAAAACACAAACTTCAGGCTCCATTAATAGTGCTATTGCAAAAATACAAAACGGTCACAGAAGCAATAAGCAAATATCCTATGAAATATTCACAGACAAGCACCATTTTCCAATCTATTGAGCTCCCGGTTCAGAAAACTCAAGTACTATTATCAGGCTACGCTCAATCAACATTTGCAGTTTTTAGTCAACAGAACTTTTGTACTTGGGAGCACTTGAAAACCTGACCCATTGCTGCTTAAAATTTGGGTTACAAGCTTAACTTTCAACTGTGTCAGTCCCAGCAGTTCTCGAGGGGACTAGGGGAATAAAATAAATACTTATTGTAGTGACTGGAAGTCTCCAATTTATTATTGTCACTTAACAATTGAATCAGTTTTGAAGACAACAAAGAAAAAGTTACTAATTCAGCATTAACCTTATCCCATAAACACCTAATTATACTGTAAATTTGAAAAAATTACTGTCTACAGCAGGAAAAAGTACTCCAGCTACGGTTCCTGCTGTATCTTATGTTTTAGTTTGTAGGAATAGTTCTAAAAATCTAGTGCATATCCCACTGATAGTCTTGAATTTTCTTTTTATAGAAAAATACCCACGTATATATCCACAGATTTCCAGATTCCACTAGCACAGCTAAAAAAAAGAGTTTCTAGCAATCCTTAATTTGATTTAAAGCACTTATTTTTGATGTAAGTACTTCCACAATTTCATCTTGATTTATATTTGCAATGACTGCTGTAGCGTGGCACTCATGTTAATTAAACAGATTAAGGGGTCTTCAGCTGTAGCACGGGCCCTCCACTCTTCCACCCACTTTTGTTTCTTAACTGTCATTAACCTCTAGGAAATGCCCTCCTTGTTGGTCGTTTTTGTTTAATTACACTTCACAGTTATGTCATCACATCTGCGAAATACAATCTTCCATAACAACACAGCTGTGAAACACGATGCTCCCGCCCAGCAGTGAAATTGTGTGGTTCCAGCAGATGACACACAGGCCTGATGGCCATGGGGGGAAGTGACAGGAAATTTTTTCCAAGGCCCTTGGTTTTGACCAGATTGATTGTGTCAGGAGGTACGGCCAGTCTGCGAGAAAGGCCCCCGAAACTCCTCCTCTGTCCTCCCTTCCCCACCCCTCCTGATAAAACCTTCCATAAATGTTAGGAACAACTATTTCTAAACTTAGAAGAGGGCTTAGAGAAGTTTTATAGAGAAAAAATGAAGTGAGAAGAAACCTCAGAAATAGAATCTATGAGCCCACTATCTATTTTTTTTTTTTTTAACAAATAGTATGGCTTAAATCTGAATTACACTTTTTTTCCTGTAACCCTCTGCTTCCATTCACAATCTCATGATACGCAAGCATCTCATTTGCTTGTATTATAACAGGAGCAGTGACTGCATGGGTCCAAAAGAAACAGGATTTTGCATATTCCTGCTGTGTTTTACAGGTGAAAAAAAACCCCAAAAAATAAGAAAGGGGGACAAGTACTCAAACAAATGGTTCTTAGAAGATTACCAGCAAGAGCTCCCCACATCACAATGACCTCACATCTAAAACATTGAATGGAACAGCCATTAATTCCTGAAATTTAACAGGAATTGTGCTTGGTACATGGATTAGGTGTGGCTGTATCAAACAGGCCAGTAGTGTTACCATAAAATAATTCAGAAAAAAAATTATAGTTTGTACTGTAATGTCTGTGTGCTAAGACTTATCTTCACTTTGTCCTATTTTTGATGGTATTAGTTGGCTGGCAGTAAGCACACAGCCTTCTCCACAGAAAAGAAATGGCACCAACCAGCGCTTTGCTCTGTTTACTGAGGGAGGGGAGAGATTTGTCTCTGTGTGTGTGGGGAGGGGGGTGACTGTGAGGGAATTGTCTGATTTTTCAATAGTAGAGATAACAGTGGACAGGAGAACAGTTTAAAGCCTTAATCAAGACTGTGTGTAACAAGCTTCGACAGGATTTTTTTTCCTGGTCTGGGTTAAAAACCCTTGACTGGCCCGCAAGGAGCAAGGAGTTGTTTACCTGGTAGAAGCAAGGGGGCAAATTCCTTTAGATTGATGCAAAACATTTTCCTACTCTGGAGGTCAGAAAGGGAGGAGCATCAAGTTTATTTATGTAGCTCAAACAGCGGCCAAGCAAAGAGGATGCCTTATTGTGCCGAGTTCATAACTGTACATTAAACTCCTCCCTTTAAAGCGATGAAGAAGGAAAATTGCCAGTTCCCACTCCAGGAGTCACGAGCAAATGGAAGGGGAAAGAAATAAGCAACCAAGTCACTGCTTGAACGAGTTTTTGAGCACAATGCTTATGATTAACCAACTGAAGAATCAGAATGACAGGGAGGAGAGAGCTCACACAGATAAACCCAGAGCCAGAGGGAACAACAACAGAAATGCCCTGGGCTTCGGGTGGTCTTGTTTTACAAAGCAAGATTAATTAAACAGACACTAAAGGACATCTCTTTTAGAAAATGAAACACGTTACAAACCAAAACGCCTCAGAGAGCAAGCAGCTAGGGAGTTATAACTAAATTACTAAGTACAAAATGAAGCAGCCTGCAGAGGAAATGAGTAATTAAAAAACCCTCCCCTGAGCAACAGGCTGGTGAGAGAGGGATAACTCCGGGACCCTGATGCTGGAGGTAACCGGTACCAAAGCCAAAAACTGCCAGATGAAAACAGATGTTTTATACAAACAACAAAAAGCCTAGTGGAACTTCATAAAAGCCTCAATCTGCTGCCTTTACAGTGCGTTTTCGCTCAGAGATGGCATTAGACACAGTCTGTCTGGTACGACCTGGAGAGATGCACGCAGGAATTACATCACCCACCGCTACCACGCTGCCGCCCCCGGGGTGAAGCGCTGCAGTCGTTGGATAGTGCTCAGCAACCATAAACAATGCTTTCAGAGGAAGAAATAGATCAACCTCTTTCTTCTTTCTGCAAGAGAGTTCACCTAAAACACAGCACAGGCAACCACCTCCCTGCTAGCACAGAAAACCCTTCGGCAGCCCTCTCCCCTTCCTCAACGGAGGAAAGACACCTTGGGCGCCAGCTCTCCAGGGGTCCTGCTGAGCAACATCACCCCTGGCCTGGTCCAGCTCCCCCTTTTTCCCTGTTGCCCCAGAGAGACACCAGGAACAACACCCAACTTGCCAACCTTAAAATAAGCACCCTCCCAAAGCGGCTTTCCAACTTTTCCCACTGGGTCTTTTCCAGGGAAGACAAGCCCTGGGTCTAGGAAGTTTCAGAGCACTGACAAGAATCCTTCTCTCATTTATCTTTTGGAAACCTCCTAACGGTCACCAGTTGAATACGAGCCTGTTGGCAGGGAGGCATGGAGGATGATGACCATGGTTGACAGCCCGCTGGAGGAGCACCCTGGGGTGAGGGGCTCACACTTTTTCTCCAGACACGGTTCCCTCAGAGGGAGCAGCCCCAGGCCTGGCAGATGTCATCCCCTTTCTGTTGTGGATGGCAGCAAAGCCAGGAAGGCGAAGACATCCTCTGTTGACATTGAGGTGGACCTTCTGCTTGGTCACCAAGTGGACATCTCTCACTGCCACCTTGAGACGTTCATCAGGTGTGTGTGGGTCGCTCTGTCATTGCACAGAGAGTTGCTCACCCACCTGACCCAACTTCAAACGAGGAGCCCCTCACTGTTCCTTCTGGCTCTGGGGAGGGCCTCAAGGCCAACTTCTTCAGAGGCAGTCCCTCACCATCCCCTCAGAGCAGGGGGGATCCCTCCCTGTCCCCTTCATCAGAGGTGGCCCCTCACCATCACCTCAGCCCCCTGTGAGCCACGAGAGTCCCTCACCTCCTCCTTCGGCAGAGGTGGCCCCTCACCATCACCTCAGCCCCCCTGTGAGCCGGAAGAGTCCCTCACCCTCTCCTTCATCAGAGGTGGCCCCTCACCTCAGGCCCGTCTCCTCGCTGGGGCCGAGGGACCCCTCCTCGTCCCTCTCCTCCTCCTCGGGCCCTCTCCACCCAGCCCCACCTCCCCTCCCCGGGGCGGAGGGGTCCCTCTCCGCCCCCTCACGCCCTTCCCCGGCTCTCTCCCCGCAGGCCGCGGCCTCTCCCTCTCCCTCCGGAGCGGGCCCAGCCCCGCGGGCCCTCGGCCGCCTCCCCCGGGGCCACCGCCCCCGCAACCCCCGGCCCGGCCCTCGGCGGCGGCGGCACTCACTGCGGCGGGAAAGAGGATGCCTTATTGTGCCGAGTTCATAACTGTACATTAAACTCCTCCCTTTAAAGCGATGAAGAAGGAAAATTGCCAGTTCCCACTCCAGGAGTCACGAGCAAATGGAAGGGGAAAGAAATAAGCAACCAAGTCACTGCTTGAACGAGTTTTTGAGCACAATGCTTATGATTAACCAACTGAAGAATCAGAATGACAGGGAGGAGAGAGCTCACACAGATAAACCCAGAGCCAGAGGGAACAACAACAGAAATGCCCTGGGCTTCGGGTGGTCTTGTTTTACAAAGTAAGATTAATTAAACAGACACTAAAGGACATCTCTTTTAGAAAATGAAACACGTTACAAACCAAAACGCCTCAGAGAGCAAGCAGCTAGGGAGTTATAACTAAATTACTAAGTACAAAATGAAGCAGCCTGCAGAGGAAATGAGTAATTAAAAAACCCTCCCCTGAGCAACAGGCTGGCGAGAGAGGGATAACTCCAGGACCCTGATGCTGGAGGTAACCGGTACCAAAGCCAAAAACTGCCAGATGAAAACAGATGTTTTATACAAACAACAAAAAGCCTAGTGGAACTTCATAAAAGCCTCAATCTGCTGCCTTTACAGTGCGTTTTCGCTCAGAGATGGCATTAGACACAGTCTGTCTGGTACGACCTGGAGAGATGCACGCAGGAATTACATCACCCACCGCTACCACGCTGCCGCCCCCGGGGTGAAGCGCTGCAGTCGTTGGATAGTGCTCAGCAACCATAAACAATGCTTTCAGAGGAAGAAATAGATCAACCTCTTTCTTCTTTCTGCAAGAGAGTTCACCTAAAACACAGCACAGGCAACCACCTCCCTGCTAGCACAGAAAACCCTTCGGCAGCCCTCTCCCCTTCCTCAACGGAGGAAAGACACCTTGGGCGCCAGCTCTCCAGGGGTCCTGCTGAGCAACATCACCCCTGGCCTGGTCCAGCTCCCCCTTTTTCCCTGTTGCCCCAGAGAGACACCAGGAACAACACCCAACTTGCCAACCTTAAAATAAGCACCCTCCCAAAGCGGCTTTCCAACTTTTCCCACTGGGTCTTTTCCAGGGAAGACAAGCCCTGGGTCTAGGAAGTTTCAGAGCACTGACAAGAATCCTTCTCTCATTTATCTTTTGGAAACCTCCTAACGGTCACCAGTTGAATACGAGCCTGTTGGCAGGGAGGCATGGAGGATGATGACCATGGTTGACAGCCCGCTGGAGGAGCACCCTGGGGTGAGGGGCTCACACTTTTTCTCCAGACACGGTTCCCTCAGAGGGAGCAGCCCCAGGCCTGGCAGATGTCATCCCCTTTCTGTTGTGGATGGCAGCAAAGCCAGGAAGGCGAAGACATCCTCTGTTGACATTGAGGTGGACCTTCTGCTTGGTCACCAAGTGGACATCTCTCACTGCCACCTTGAGACGTTCATCAGGTGTGTGTGGGTCGCTCTGTCATTGCACAGAGAGTTGCTCACCCACCTGACCCAACTTCAAACGAGGAGCCCCTCACTGTTCCTTCTGGCTCTGGGGAGGGCCTCAAGGCCAACTTCTTCAGAGTCCCTCACCATCCCCTCAGAGCAGGGGGGATCCCTCCCTGTCCCCTTCATCAGAGGTGGCCCCTCACCATCACCTCAGCCCCCTGTGAGCCACGAGAGTCCCTCACCTCCTCCTTCGGCAGAGGTGGCCCCTCACCATCACCTCAGCCCCCCTGTGAGCCGGAAGAGTCCCTCACCCTCTCCTTCATCAGAGGTGGCCCCTCACCTCAGGCCCGTCTCCTCGCTGGGGCCGAGGGACCCCTCCTCGTCCCTCTCCTCCTCCTCGGGCCCTCTCCACCCAGCCCCACCTCCCCTCCCCGGGGCGGAGGGGTCCCTCTCCGCCCCCTCACGCCCTTCCCCGGCTCTCTCCCCGCAGGCCGCGGCCTCTCCCTCTCCCTCCGGAGCGGGCCCAGCCCCGCGGGCCCTCGGCCGCCTCCCCCGGGGCCACCGCCCCCGCAACCCCCGGCCCGGCCCTCGGCGGCGGCGGCACTCACTGCGGCGGG